AGGTTTGATTTGTGTACATTTTACAGAGAGAGCTCCGGAGCTCAATCTCCCAGTGTCCTCTAAGTCAGTACCCTCCCGCGGTTCTCCGTTTATCCAGGTCACCTTAGAACCTCCACAAGTGAACAAAATCACTTCCACCTGCTCTGTTACAGTTTGTATTGTCCTGTCAAAGCAAATGTGGGGGCTCTATCACTTTCAATTTGTCAATTCCTCTCCCCCCAAAAATGGGGTTACACTAGCTAGATCTTATAGCACTCTTTAATGCCTTGTACATGTATATATCCCCAATGTTAAAACAACAGAGTTTTTACAGTTAAACAAAACTCGATATATTGATAATCCTTCCAAAGCCAAAAACAATTAAAACTCCCAGAGTCAATTCTTGAGTGGTGGGTAGTTGTTTAAATAGCAGTAAATCTCTCTCTCTCTCTATGACAGGTCCTTCAAGTTTTCACAGCCGGGGCTCTAAGTATTATATGTTAGTCACTTAAATCACCTTCACCAGAAGGAATGTGTGACCTTCAGTTTCCCGTGGGTAGGTAATTAATAAACATATCTATCCATCACAGGTCATATTTGACTGAAATGACTGACAAACAGGACTGATATATATATATATATAGACAGGGCTCTTCAAAATAATCTTCAAACTTTTTCCCTCAAACCTCAGGTGACACTGTATTATTCAATAATAAAAAGTCCCCGTTAACACACAAGTTTTCACTTTTTTAGTCTGATCACACAAATATCCTGGATATTTTTATAGGGTTTCCAGCAAAAAAAAAATCCCAGACAGTAAATTGGAGTAATTAATATTGTATAATTGGTCGTAAAACAGTCAAAGGAGACAAACTGACAAGTGACACTTAACGTAAAAATCACTGAGACACTATATCTCCAACACTCATATTGAACTGACCAATGTATTCCCTCCAGAAACTCTGATATTTTATATCACCACACAACTATAATTACCAACTTTAATTACCCTCCTCAACTCGAATTGAAATAAAGATAAATATTAACCACAAGTTCTGAAACTCCAACTTCAGTTGGAAATCTCTTCCTTTTTTGGCTGATATGAAGAGAGAATCCAATATGTTAAAAGTACCTCAATCGCGTTAGCATCTCTCACTCACTCTGTATACATGTGATTTATGTTCCAACTCATTAAGCTAATCAGTTAATTAATTAATACATGTACAAACACACAGTGCGTAATGCAGTCAACTCATAACAGAATAAGACGTCCATTAGTCTAAACTGCAACATGATGAAATAATTTTTCTAGCTTTAATGTGTTTCATATCATTGACAAAAAATTATATACTTTACTGAATGGGTGCATGCATGGTAAATTGGTAAATTAATGATAGAACCCCCCTCCCTGTAAACAAATGTGCTCCAAATAAAACTTTTACATGTAACCACTGATAATTGAGTTACCGGGTATTCATAATACACTAAATATAGTGACATTCTTAACTTTCATGTAGATATCTTCTAATTAACAGACAGACAGATCTACAGTTGAACTCGTTTGTACAGTAGGTTAATTAAGCTGTCAGGATTTTTTGTCACACCTGATACAGGTAACACACCTGTATATACCTGTGTATTTACTGTCCACGGGCTACAGACGTAGATAATGACGACTAACAGCTGATCAATTAATTACTGCTACCACTTAATTACAGGGCAAGAGAAACGTGTCACCGGAGTCACTGAATGTATCACTGCAGGCATCAAATCTTGTGGACACTCATAGAAAACGGGGGAAGGGGGCTTATAATTTGTGACTGCTCTATATAAAAGATATATATCTTTAAAAAGTATAGATTTAATGCATGAGTGAGAAAATGCATATACCGGCCGGTATGTTTATTCTGTGAATAGTCAATACATTCAAGAATATAGGTAATTTACTTTAAAATTAGCAATTAATTAGAACCTAATCCTTTGGGCTGACAAATTACATCTTCAATTCTTTTTACCTATAGAATCTAAATTTCACATTATTTGAAAGATACATGTATGAAGCACCTTACTGAATGAAAAACACAATAAACCAGAGCCAAGAGAGATAACTCCTGTAGACTTGTCAAGATATGACCTTGAGTGTAAAATCAAGTCTACATTATGCATGTGCAAAATAAGAAGGATGAGATTTCCCCAAACCAAACTGTTACTATGGTTACAATATACTAACCGTGCTCAGAACTACTGGATGACCTCCGCAGAATCATTCCAATAATATCCATGGTAACAGGGTTAAAGTTCCCAATAATAAGACTGGTGGTCAATCTATCCTACATCACACTTTTAGGCTTATGACAGCATTTCACTAAGTTTGCTCATGTCAATGCAGCCTCAAAATCACATTCTGTGTTTATGATTTATAACTGTGGAATACAGTAAATCAAATTTAACTGATAGATGTCAAGTTGGATTTAGAATTCTATAGATATAACTGTGTCTCTTATTTATATTTTAAATGGATGAACTGTTCTCTCAATGTGATGATTTTACACACATCTGATTACTGTGATGATAGATTCAATGACGCTCTCCTCAACCAGACAGAATTAAATCTGATGACTGCGATGATAGATTTGAAGACTGTCTCTCCGAGCGGACAGAATTAAATACATTGCCTGACAATAAGGTGGTATATATTTACACCTATCTACCGATATCTATCTAAGTCAGCTTTATAATTCAGATATCCACACTTGACAGATTTCCTCGTTAATTGTCCGTGATAGTGATCTAATACAGTGTTATAATTCAGTCACCAGACGGGATTAACACCGAATCAATGTCCTAGACAGATACCCAATGTTGACTTAATTAAACGATAACGATCTGTCAACACAAACACCTCCTCGCTCCGTGTCGCTGCAGTGTCTGTATTTTTTTAAATGCTGGGAGCTCCCCGACTGAAGTCAATATTTTTACTCCTAGTCAATAACGGCCTGATTGAGTCGAGATCAGCATGTCCGTTATATAGCTACTGGTGACAAAGCACTGCTGGCTGTGTTCAGTTAAAACACAAATAAATTAACCTAGAGGCATGAAATCAATGGTCACATACACAGAAATTCAAATCAATGGTCACATACACAGAAATTCAAATCAATGATCACATACACAGAAATTCAAATCAATGGTCACATACACAGAAATTCAAATCAATGGTCACACATAAAAAGCAATTCAAAATTTGGTTCCACGGAACTCTTTTGCCTTTAAAACTTTGGTCTGATGAGAGAATATATATTTTTTTTAAATTCATATCCCAAGAAAAGCTAGTCCTCCCTCTACCTGACTCGAATCTCATCAAACTGCAATTTTCATTGCTTTCTCACACTTAACAGTTTATCCTCACCATGTTCTAGTGAGAGTTCCACACAGAGTCATCTTGTAAACACTGGACGTGACATTTATTTCTCATTAGTCGAAACATGTAACAGGAACTAGGGGTCGTAAAAGGTCATTAGGAACTGGACAATAACTGACTGTAGTAAACCTGTCAGTCCGGTGTCCAGCGGTCCACTGTTCTCTTGTCTGGTCCTCTAACCCGATCTGGTCCCCCGTCCTGGTTAACACACACGGAGCCTGACAGACACGTTATAATGGAGAAGTCTGGCTTCTGTCAACAGTAAAATCCCAATCAATAGCCGAGAATTGTCAATACCAAAAAAATCCACAGCTCTGTTTTACTTCAGCAGAGTTCCTAATTCACAGATTCTGAAAGCCTACGTACGTACAGCCGGATACAATGATACATTGATATTACCATGACACACAGGATACAATGATACGCACTGATACACAGACAAAACCTCTTCTGAACACAAGATTTTCACCAAAATTTTAAGGTAATGAACAGACATGTAGCAGATCTCCTGATTGTCAAAGAACTAAGCACATTAGACAGACAATTTCTCCCCTACACGATAGCTTCTCTTTCCATGTCACGACCCTGACAAAGTCTTGATAATATTACGATATTCTTTGATGAACTTCCTAAGTATAATGTCAACTATTGGGTAAGAAACGAAACCTTTATCACACAGAATTCCATAAATATTTCTCAACAACAAACCACTACTGTGTACACAGTGGACCAAAGTCACAAAGTCTGGGGTTAAATGTCCAGTAAGAATGACCACTGAAGACAGACTGACCCACAGCATACAAAAGACTGGAATGTCCAGGATAAACAAACCCCGCTAAACAGTCAACAAAGATTACATCAGGTGTGAACAGTATTCAGGGGCTCCTATCAGCAGGTGATTTCCAGGTAATTTCAGGTGTGTTACCTGGGCAGGTGAGAGAGGGGAACTGGGCACTAAATTTTGTACAAGGGGAGGGGGCACTATCTTTATACAATATTTCAATAATATTACAGTGTCTCTATTCTTATTATACAATGGCCTAATTCATAAACTCAAATAATACAATTGTGAAACATTTATCTGTTTACCCAATGATAGAGAGAAAGATGGAAGGAGAGAGAGAGATAGAGAGAGAGAGAAAGATGGAAGGAGAGAGAGAGATTCAGTGTCTATAATTGTATAATACTTGATGTTACTCTGTTATTCATTATTCTAGCAGCTGCTCATGTTTAAGTAATTATGAAGCAACTATTAAATTGGTTTCCCTCTCCCAACTGACTGATTAAAGTTGGCCCGACTCAAAACTTATTTTTTAACATTCTAGGACACAATATTTTTTCTTTTATTCCTCATATCCCTTCAACAAAGTTGAAATTTTCAGGGAAAAAATATTTTCCCATCTACTTACAGACTCAATAATTTTAGTCGGGATAGGGCAAGCAAACATTATACTGTGCTATGATTAGTTAACTGAATTTTACTCTTCTTTTTGTTGATTGGTTGACTTAAGTATTACTTTTTTTTTATTGGTTGACTAAACTATTACTATTTTGCGATTGGTTGACTTAATGAATACTGTATTCTGATTGGCTGACTTACTGTTTCCTGAGCAGACACTGGCGGCGTGGTCCATCCCGCCGATGCCGCTGTCGGGGTAACTCTCGGCGCCGTAGCTGTCCCGCACGCAGCGGTCCCTCAGTCTCAGTTCTTCTTCTATCAGTAACCTCGTCTGGCGGGACTTGGAATTGTTGTTGTTGTTAAAGAATCGACTTGGACGACCCTGCTCCACTTTTTTGGCCACTTGGGTTCCATTCTGTTGCTTTTTCACCCTATCATGCGTATTTAGACTCTTGGTACGACCGAGTCCCGAGGATTTTGAGTTTTTGGAGACTGTTGGATCGTCATGGTAACCGTTATCCATGTTTGGATCTTCTGGGGACACGGGTAGCGATTGTAACATGCGTTTTAAAACGTTACTGTCAAACTCCACCTGACACTCCGGGGTCAGTGGGGTCATTGGGGTCAAAGGTTCTGGAGGTGAAGGCCATTCAGGGGAATCCGATGACCCTGATAAGCTTGATCTTGACACAGTCAATACTCCGTTCACTCCCGTCGCGCTCACTGATACTTTATACACAGACCCTGGTGTCTCGTTATTTTCAGTATGATCCAAGCTTTCAAGAGAAAAATTGTCAGAATTCGGCTGTCTGTTTTCAGTGGATAATTGATAACCTTTTACATCTGAGGTCAAAGGTGATGGATTGACATCTGACCTTACTGCAGTAGAAACACTGTGTGAGATTTCCTCTTTGACCTTGGGATGACCTTGATCGGGTCGAGTCGGCGTCGGAGCAACAACAGTCGTGGACGTATCGATGTAAGAAATCCTATGACCTTGATCCTCACTGGAGGTCACAAAAGAGTTATCACCAACAAAAGCAGTTTCGATGTGGACAGGCCGCCTTAATTTCCCCTGGATCTCCCCTTGACTGCCTCCCTGCCTGGAGGGCACCTGACGGGGGCAGTTCTCCTGCTCCTGGCTCTGGTAAAACTTGTGTGTGAAATGGATGGCTGATGCTGGTCGCGCTTCACTTAATATGTTGTGGTCCACAAACGACACAGCAGCTGGCATAGACTTCCTGTGTGATGTATCATGGGTATTGTTTGTTTTCCGCAAAACCACAGTTCCTGTTCATAAGAAAAAATTTAATGTTTTACCGCCTTTACACTTTTAATTTTGAAGGTAATTATTACATGTCCAAAATATAAACCAATTAATCGTGTTTATTAAAGAAACATGTTCATGTCACTGATCAGAGAACTGCAACTTAAAAAGAAATTTTCTCTGAATATTTCTTTAATAAACCAATGAAAGGGGGGGGGGAGTTCACATTATGCTTTGAGCTTATGGTTATGGACCAGACAAAATAAAACATAATGGTTTAACACTAGAAGCTCAGAGAAACAAAAAGATTGCTGGTCAGCTGAAGGCATACTTTGACTTTAACAAGTTACCTTGAATTGACCAAAATAACCTTGAGTCAAGGTCATAGCAAACTTACAGGTGAAAAGCAATTTCTTTGTTTCTACGAGCTTCAAATGTCTCTCTGATAAAAGTTATAAACTGAGTTAAAAAACCTTTATGTTTAAACATTCCTAATAAAGAAATTAACACATAAAATTCCTAAAAAAATATAAAATTGACGACCTATATTATCAATAACTCCTACCTGTGACATTATCGTAGACCGAGGACGTTGAGGGAGGTTTGAGAATTCCGATCGGTTTAAATGTCTGAAGTTCTGCCACAGGCTCCGTCAGTCCGCGTGGTATGGTGGCGGCCTTCTCTCGCCTGTCAATCACAGGGTCATGTGATTGGTCATGTGACAGCTCCTGTGGAGCCGAGGCAGCTCTGTAGGCGGGGTTATGTGTGGGGGATCCAGAATCTTGCTGCAGTGAGGGGTGGTGGTGGTGGTGATGGTGGTGGTGAGTGGTAGTGGTGGATCTAAGATCTGGCTGACTTGAGGGGTGGTGGTGGAAATAGCGTGTAGGAGAATTAGGAGAGGATACAGATCTGTCTTTACCTTTTATTTTCTGAAATTTACAGAAAATAAAGCTGATCCTTTACTGTTTAACAATTAGCTCTGGAACATATTTCTGGTCCAAATCTGGCAACAATCAGAGATTCATTTCAAACTTTACACAAAATATCAAGATAGCATGACAAGCTACATTTATCTCATAATTTATTGTATACTATATCCATGAAATATGAAATACAAATCTATTTTAATTCAAACGTATTCTACATGGGATTTAAGATTAATTATTATTATAAATAAAGAGTATTCACTAAACTCACAAGTAACTGATGGGTATAAATTATCTCACCTTTGGGGGGCTGAGTCTCAGTGAGCTTGCGGAGTTGGCCTTCCTGGAGAATTTCTGTGACGGGTTCTACGGAGAAAACAGAAACTTAAAATCAGGCAGATAATGAGACTGTGAATATCTCCCAAATCAAAACTATGACACATGTATCCTGATAAAGTACAACATACATTTTGTGAGCATCTTCCTGATTTCAATTTTAATTAACATGTTTAATTTCAGACCATGTTTCCTTAACAGAACAAAAGGAAACTGAAAATTATCAAACACAGGTAAACTTCGTTATCTCAACATCAGCAGGACAAGTAGGAAATGTCCAGATATCTGAGGTGTTGAGATATCAGAATTGAAACTCAACATCAAAGATTACACTGCATGGCAAAACAGACATTAGGTTGACATATCAGAGGTTTTTCAATATCATTTATAGTTTTATACAGTACAGACAGTGGGATCAGTGGAAAGATGGTAACATATCTCAGATTGTCAATATATCAGAAGTCAAGATATTGAAGTTTAACTGTACATCAGAAAAGACTGAGAAAAAATATCAAATAAGACCTGGTTAATGTTGAAAAAGTTATTACTAGGGTAGGCCATTGAATTTAGTGTAACAAAATGAAGAGAGAAAGGCCGGGAAGGAGAAAAAGAAAGAGAGGAAAGAGAGAAAGAAAAAGAGAGAGGAGAGAAAGAGAGAGGAAAGCAAGATTAGAGAATGAGAGAAAGAAAGAGTGGAGAGAGGGAAAGAGAGAGAAGGAAAGACAAAGGGATAGAGTAGAAAGAAAGAGAGAAAGAAAGAAAATAGAAAGAAAAAGAGAACGAATAAATGGAAACAATTATTTATGAGATATCTAATTATGTATGGAATCATAGATTGATCATCACAGAGACTTATATATATACATACATGAACCGACGGACCAGTACATCCCTTATTCTGTAAAGTCAAGGTGCAGTGTTCAGGCGGTATCTTTTAGCATTACAATGTTTTAGTTATTTAG